ACCTCATCGCACTCGACAATTTGAATTACTACTGTGTACACCTCTAAAACTAGCAAACATGGCAGATGTACAATTAGTTGCTAAATACGAGTTAGCAACAGAAACCTGGCTGTTATCGTATTTCTTCAGCAGCTATTTCTGCGCATTGTGGGATTACTACTGTTTTAATGCAGCTTAAAGCTGAACACTATGAACGGTAGCAACAGATAACAGCATAAAAACGTTTCTTGCATAACCATGGGCAGAACTAAATGATTGATAAACTAAAATTCTGCTACATAATGGCTGAATCCAAACTTGTATAGGCTGCATACAACTATGCGACTGAACCCAGTTGTCTGTGCAACCAAATTTTCAGCAAACATGCAAGAATGAAGCCTTTTCCAGGGCCCTCTAATCCACCACAATTCCATGCAAACTCAGTTTACAGCTAAGTGACGATGTTCATCCAAGATTGGGCAAGAACATAAGAACGGTTCGCCTCCAACTATTTTCCGATAGCACAAGGTTAAAAAGAAAAACTGAGATCCAAAGAAAAGGAAGGGCCTGAAGAAGGGTGGGTATGGTGGGGGACCTGGAGGTAGAACTTGCTGTGAGCGCGTACATGAAGAGGGGAAGTAAGTACAGCGCATCAATGCAAGGCTGGCAGTGGCGCCTCATCCCTATGAAAGTGCAGGACCCGAGGTGGTGTTGGCATCCTGCAGATTGAATCAGAAGCACACACCGGTGAATTCTTGGCCATACCTTTACCTACATCATGGGGAAAAAAAGTTGAATCTTCAGTGAAGTAGTAGAGCAGATAGAAATCAAACTGGAAATAATTTTCTCACCTGTATGTAACAAGCTCCACCAATGGAACTGACAGGATAGAATACAGGAGACTCTGGCATGAGCTCGCATATCTGCTAACTCAACATAGCATCAGCAACCTCAGACATACATTCTTCAAGAACCTGTTTGTCCTGACATAGAAAATATAATTTTCAAATCAAGAGTAAATCCACCCTCGCATGCACAGCAGACCACTGAGAATGACATTGCTAAAAATGCATTCTTACAAAGGAAAGTGACTGTTTCAAAGGGATAAAATCTCAGGTGTCTGGTAGAAAAGATTGTATACCTTCCCAAATCGCATCAGAAGTCATTACCCCAAAAATTCTTACGAAGTCATTACCTCATACCACCAATGGAATTAGACTACTTGGTCAACATTTCCTTGCCCATCGAAGATCAAAAGATTCATAGACATTACACATTCTTGTGACTTTGACACATAACAAAATGAACTCAATGAAATATTGAAGGTACAAAGCAGGCCATTAAGATATCTTGTACTAGCAGGAGGGCCTTATGGCAAGAAAAGAGTTGAACCATGCTTTCTTAGGAGTTAGTCTCATGTGCAATGCCACTAAATCCATCTAAAAAGTGATAATTTGCAGGAAGTAACTTGATGTTCTCCCGATATTTCCCTTTGCTTGAAAAAAGAGACGACAACAATGAAGTGGTTGAATCTTCAAGTGAGATGATCTTCCCATCAACTTTAGACAAATAATTTCCAGCCTTGGCAATCTCACCTTTTTCCAACAACCTTCTGATGATATCATTTACAAGATGAGAGCTGGGAGCACAACCACTCTTCTCCATCAATGAAAACATATTGTCAACTTCTTCCACTGATCCTTCTTTTAGAAGATTGTTTATCATTACGTTGTAAGTATAAGCATCAGGCATCAACCCACTGGCTGATATTGCAGCAAATAAACCTTTAGCTTCTTCTCTTCTCTGAACCTTGTACATGGCATTAATCATGGTATTGAGTGTTATGATATCAAACTTCACATTCATTGCACGTAATTCCTGGAACATGGTGATTGCTTCGCCAGCGCAATTATTTTTACAAAGTCCTCTAAGAATTATAGTGTATATGGAAACGGGCACTGTTATTCCACTTTTGATCATCTGATGAAACATTTCCTTTGCAGCAGCAGTTCTCCCAGCACGATATAAACCATCCAGTATGATGCCATATGTCACAGTTGTAGGTTTAACTCCCTTGCACGACATATCTCTAAATAGGGTCAAACCATCATCGATCCTTGCATTTTTAAAATAGCCATCAAGAAGTGCACTATAAGTAACAGCATCAGGCTCAATTCCAACTGATACCATGGCATCAAGCAGTTTGAATGTTTTATCCATCTTGCCGACTGAGCAATATCCGTCAGTCAGTGAACTAAATTTACTGCCATTACATGTCGCTTTATTAGGCTGCGCACCATTACGAGCCATCCGCTGAAAGACTAGCTCTGCCTTGTCCATTTCTCCGGCCTTGCACAACGCATCAATTATTATGTTGTATGTCACCACAGTCGGCACAACCCCTTGCCGCATCATTTCATGGAATAGATGGCATGCCTTGTCTATTTCGCCCTCCTTAAAGAAGCCATGGATGATTGTGCTATATGCCACCACATCAGGAAGGCAGCCTCCTTTTGCCGCCATCTGGAGCAGGTCGAGTGCCTGCTGACTCATGCTATTTTCACACAAGCTTTTCAAAACTATGGAGTACGAGATGGCATTAGGCACACAGCCCAGCTCGGGCATCCTGTGAAGCAGTACTTTCACAGCCTCTTCTGTCCGTTTCGCGCAGCAGAGGCACTTGAGGAAGGTGGTGGCGACGATCTCGTTTGCCTTCAGGCCTGTCCTGAGGAAGCGGCCGAATAAGGCAAGCCCTAGGTCCGGGCGACGTGCGCGGCAGCAGCAGTCCATGAGGATGCCATAGGTGTGGACTGTGGGCGCCGCCACACGCGGACCGGCCTCTTCTCGGCACACACGGTTGAAGAGAGCGACGGCAAGGGCGGGGCCATCTCTGATGCAGGCGGCGGGGGACGTGGCACGGGCGAGGACGGCAAAGAAGCCGTTCATGGTGCGATCGGGGACCGGGGTGGCTTGACCGAGCAAATCGTCGAACAGGTGGTGAGCGTCTTCCGGGCTGAGCGTCCCGGCGCGAACACGCTCTATGGCGGCGACAAAAGCGTCTCGGGGAGACCAGGGGCCTGAGGGCGGTGAGGTGGAGGTGGAGGTGGAGCAGCGGCGGAGGAGCCGGAGGCGGGGTATCAGTGTGGTGGAGGAGCTGCGGCGGAGGAGGCGGAGGCGAGACATCGGCGCGGTGGAATAGCGGCGGAGGCGGAGTGGGGAAATCGGCGGGGCAAAGGAGTGGCGCAGACCGGACTTCAACTAGGTTCAGCCGGAGGAGGAGCGGCGGCGAGGGCGGATGCGGCGGACAACGGCGTCGGGGGGGAACGGCCGTCGTGTTCGTTCGTGCGCGGTGGGTGTTTGGCGTGGATCTTTTGAGCGGGTCCCGTCTTCCGGTCGCTCAATCAAGCATTTGCCTCTGATTGTCTGTGGTTGATCCAACGTCCCCAATCAACTAGTGTTTCAAAATTTCCTTAAAAAACTAGTATTTTAAAAAAAGTCTCCAATTTCCTCATCTAAACGTCACAGATTTTTTTTCGCGGAAAAACTTCTAGGCCTCTTTTGGTTCATAGGATGGGATTATCATACGAATAGGAATCTTGTAGGAAATGAGATGACATGTATATCAAATTCTATGAGTAGGAATAGGAAACAAGATGTCATTTGGTTGACACCAAAGGAATTTTTCCATTGAGTCTAGGCTTTTTTTATTTTCCTATGAAATGTGGAGGATAGGAACCAATTCTATGTAGGAATAGGAATCCATTCCTATGAACCAAAGGGTTCTAAAGGAAAAAATCCTATAAGAATCCTATCCTCTATAATTCCTATGAAATTCCTCTAAACCAAAGGAGACCATAATCTATTCATCTTCAATCATGACAGTACAACGAACATCAAAAATAAAAATTACATCCAGATCCATAGACCACCTAGCAACGACTACAAGCACTGAAGCGAGCCGAAGGCGCGCCGCCGTCATCACCCCTCCATTGCCGGAGTCGGACACAACTTGTTGTAATAGACAGTCGGGAAGTCGTCGTGCTAAGGCCCCACAGAACCAGCGCACCAGAACAGCAACCGCCGCCGATGAAGAATAACGTAGGTTGGAAGGATTCAACCTGAAGACACACGAACGTAGACGAACAACGACGAGATCCGAGCAAATCCACCAAAGATAGATCCGCCGGAGACACACCTCCACACGCCCACCAACGATGCTAGATGCACCGCTGAAACCGGGGCTAGACGTGGAGACCTTTATTCCATCTTTAGGGAGTCGCTGCCGTCTCGCCTTTCTGAGCATGACACAAACCCTAACAAGACAGGAAAAAACGACTAAAAACGGAGCCCTCCCGCCGGCCCTTGGCAGGATCCATCGCGCCCCCATGGCCCTAGGGCCACCGGAGACGAGGCGGACCTATGGCGGAGCCGGCGAGAGGCATAAACCCTAGCTTTCTTGCTTAGAGGAGGAGGAGCGACTTGGCGGCTATGCGTCCCCAAACGTGGCAGATCTTTGGTGGGATGGGTGGTGGTTGGTATCAAGTTTGTGTCCAACATCTTCATTCCCGTGGTGTTCAAGCATGTGCATTGACTTTGTAATGTAGTTGTTCATTGTTAGCCAAGCGCCTTTCACCGGAATTATCCTAAGGACTCCGTGTAACCTTTGCTTAATTAATAAATGTTGAATATTCAAAAGTTAAAAATTTAAACCTAGCTGCCACAGCCACATGTAAAATGGTGAAAATGGACTATATTAATTCTAACCTAGCCGCCACGGCCGGAGAAAAGAGAGAGGGTGATCTGGCCTCACCCTCGTCGGCTGCTCCAGCCATGGTGGTAGGAAGGTGGACCCCGGGACTTGCCCCGCGTCCGTCTATAGTTTAGGTTTTATTAATTAGGGTCTTTTGTTGTTCATGGCTCCGGCTACGGAGGTAGCGGTGGTGGTTGCGTAAGGTTCCTACAGATCTTCCTTCGATGCGGCAGCTTTCCTTCTGTTGGGGAACGTAACAGAATTTTAAAATTTTCTATGCATCACCAAGATCAATTTATGGAGTCATCTAGCAACGAGGGAGAGAGGAGTGCATCTACATACCCTTGTAGATCACGAGCGGAAGCGTTTAAGAGAACGGGGTTGATGGAGTCGTACTCGACATGATCCAAATCACCGAAGATCCTAGCGCCGAACGGACGGCACCTTCGCGTTCAACACACGTACGGAGCGAGGACGTCTCCCGCGCCTTGATCCAGCAAGGAGGAGGGAGAGGTTGAGGAAGAGGGCTCCAACAGCAGCACGACGGCGTGGTGGTGATGAAGCTGCAGTACTCCGGCAGGGCTTCGCCAAGCTCTTATGGAGGAGGAGAGGTGTTGGGGAGGGGAGGGGCTGCGCCTTGGATGTCGTATGCAGCCCTCCCCTCACCCCTCTATTTATAGGGGAAGGGGGAAGGGGGCCGGCCCCCTCTAGATGAGATCTAGAGGGGGGCGGCGGCCAAGGGGAGGGGGGCTTGCCCCCCAAGCAAGGGGACGCCCCCCCTTAGGGTTTCCCCCAACCCTAGGCGCATGGGCCCTAGGGGGGTGTGGTGCCCCAGCCCACTTGGGCTGGTTCCCTTCTCCATACAGCTCATAAGGCCCTCCAGAAGAGGTGGCCCCTCCCGGTGGACCCCCGGAACCCCTCCGATGGCCCCGGTACAATACCGATATGCCCCCGAACCTTTCCGGCGACCGTATGACAACTTCCCATATATAAATCTTTACCTCCGGACCATTCCGGAACTCCTCGTGACGTCCGGGATCTCATCCGGGACTCCGAACAACATTCGGTAATCACATACAAGTCTTCCTAACAACCCTAGCGTCACCGAACCTTAAGTGTGTAGACCCTATGGGTTCGGGAGACATGCAGACATGACCGAGACGACTCTCCGGTCAATAACCAACAACGGGATCTGGATACCCATGTTGGCTCCCACATGCTCCACGATGATCTCATCGGATGAACCACGATGTCGAGGATTCAATCAATCCGTATACAATTCCCTTTGTCAATCGATACGTTACTTGCCCGAGACTCGATCGTCGGTATCCCAATACCTTGTTCAGTCTCGTTACCGGCAAGTCACTTTACTCGTACCGTAATGCATGATCCCGTGATCAACCACTTGATCACATTGAGCTCATTATGATGATGCATTACTGAGTGGGCCCAGAGATACCTCTCCGTCATACGGAGTGACAAATCCCAGTCTCGATTCGTGCCAACCCAACAGACACTTTCGAAGATACCTGTAATGTACCTTTATAGTCACCCAATTACGTTGTGACGTTTGGCACACCCAAGGCACTCCTACGGTATCCGGGAGTTGCACAATCTCATGGTCTAAGGAAATGATACTTGACATTCAGAAAAGCTACAACAAACGAACTACACGATCTTTGAGCTAAGCTTAGGATTGGGTCTTGTCCATCACATCATTCTCCTAATGATGTGATCCCGTTATCAATGACATCCAATGTCCATAGTCAGGAAACCATGACTATCTTTTGATCAACGAGCTAGTCAACTAGAGGCTCACTAGGGACGTGTTGTGGTCTATGTATTCACACATGTATTACGATTTCCGGATAACACAATTATAGCATGAACAATAGACAATTATCATGAACAAAGAAATATAATAATAACCATTTTATTATTGCCTCTAGGGCATATTTCCAACAGTCTCCCACTTGCACTAGAGTCAATATTCTAGTTACATTGTGATGAATCGAACACCCATGCAGTTCTGGTGTTGATCATGTTTTGCTCTAGGGAGAGGTTTAGTCAACGGATCTGCTACATTCAGGTCCGTATGTACTTTACAAATCTCTATGTCTCCATTTTGAACACTTTCACGAATGGAGTTGAAGCGACGCTTGATATGCCTGGTCTTCCTGTGAAACCTGGGCTCCTTGGCAAGGGCAATAGCTCCAGTGTTGTCACAGAAGAGAGTCATCGGGCCCGACGCATTGGGTATTGTGACGCCCGGATAATTAAGCTACAGTGATCCCACGCTAATGGTGCCACGTCACCACGGTTACCGCTACTAATCTATCGCTAGATCAAAACCGGTCCAAATCAAATTCAAAGTTTGGTAAATAATAAAAGTTTTCAGACATTTAAATAAAAATGTTCGGTTTGTACTAAATATTACATAGATAAATATGGTGTAGTAAACACATTTTTATAAAAGGCCTAAATAATTTAAGATGATTTAAAACAGAAAAGTAAATAAATAAAAGAAAAGAAAATACGAAAAAGAAAAACTAAACAAACAAACAAAGAAAAAACCCTCGGGCTTCGGCCCGGCAGGCCGCAAGCCCCCCTCCTTGGGCCTCGGCCCACCAGGTCCAGCCGGCCGGCCTCCCCCACTCCTTATCCACTACATCCCCCACCCGACCGAACCCTAATCCACCACCACACCCCCACTCGCCC